CAATGTAAAATATATCTCTGAATGACCTTGAAAACTTAACTAACATGATTTTACATTTGATAATTACAGATGACTAATCATTAACCTATAGCTCTTTATTATCCTAAACAGCTGTCAAGGATTAACACCTTACATTATTTTTACATGAGCTGCATAGGTGCTATACCTTAAAAAAGAATAGAAACATATATAAAGTACAACCAAAATAACATTAAATTTACATCAAGGCACAAAAATATCTTAGACAAGAGTAGAAACATATATACAATATAACAAAAGTAACTTTAAATTTGTATCAATATACAAAAATATTTTAAACAAGTGTGGAAACATATGGAGTATTTTCTAACAAGAATAACCTTAACTTTGTATCAATATGCAAAAATTTATACAATTGTAAAATATTTGAGATTAATGGTTGCTTTTTAGTTTAAAGTGGACTCAGTAATCTACCCTTTTGTCCTGTCATTACTATGTCCTCCTTTCTTTCTTTTCAGAAAAAGATCCTTGGATCTAACCTCCATTGCTTAGTTTCCTCCCTTGCCATGACCAGTTAACAATTTGCAACCAACCCCCCAAACAATGATAAATATCCATATCCCACCAAGCCCAAACCCACCCACTCCACTTTCTGGGAATGTGGTATTATATTCTCTAGGCTGCTTCCTGCCGTTTGGGGGCAACAGCATTGCTAGGGGACCCTTAGAAAGTTGAGATAATGGTCAAGTCCTGAGAGAGCTAACTGTATCGTGTGTTGTCCTGTCTCTGCGTAATGGGAAAGTGCAGGGCTTATCTAAATTCTGGCTAAAGGAGCCTATGAGGCTGAATCATCTCAGCTAGCAGCTTTGAAGTTGTTCCGGATGTAGAATTTTGAGGAAACTGCAACAGAGGCGTTCTGAGAGGCTTGATCACCTGGGCTATGTATCTTTATTGGTGTCTGGTCTTAGTCTTTTTTTTTTTTCTGAAAGCACACAGACTTTTAAAGGTAACATATATATCTGTATTAGCATAAGTATGGACCGTGGTGTGAACAAGGCAGCTGAAGATAACTGTTCTATGTTTGAGCAGGTAAAAGACACTTGTTAGCTTTATAAGTCTGTTTGGAATGTATAAGCAAACCTCCATCCACGCCATATGAAAGGAAGGCATGTAATATAAGTCATGAGGACTGTGTGGCCAACAAGATTTTCATGTCTCCTCCTGTCTCAGCTGTTCCCATAGCGAGGACTCAGGATATTTGTCTTCTGTCCTGTAGTCTTTCTTGGCTTTTTTTTCTGCTATGTCTGTAGCCAAGATTTTCAAGAGATCCTCTCCCCCAATCAAACCTGAGCTTCATTAGTTTTGAAGGAATCCATAGCTTTTCGTTTCCTATGGAAACAAAGCACAACCCCTCCCCCAATGCAACACATTTTCTGACTTCCATTCTGAGGTTAAGACATTCTTAAAATATATAGGCTGGTTTAATTTAGCAGTTTCCATAATTTAATATCTCTCGGGGGCTATTCTTTTTTATTTATTAACATTTTAAAAATTCAAAGTCAACAAAGCACCATGCGGGATCCAGGCATTCTAGGTAGCTCCACCCTTATATGGCTTATTCTTTTTACATTACTTTATTCTTTCTTTAAATGCTTTATTATTTTTAAAATATTCATTTTTTCTGTGACTATCTGTACCCCCTTTTTAAACTGTATTTGTGGAAAGGTTTTCTTGGTCTGGACAGCTTTACTATACACACTTGTAGCCTTCTCTGGCCGTACAATCCAAGTCTCAAGCCCACGGCATGGCTCCACACATGGTACTGATGACTCAATCCACAGGCAGTCACTGGGAGCCATGTCTCTGTACACCAGGTCCTGTGTGGAAACGTGTGCCCCTACATGTCAGTGTGGTTTGTAGTCTTTCATGTTAAACAAATGGGGGCTGGCGAGATGGCTCAGTGGTTAAGAGCATTGCCTGCTCTTCCAAAGGTCCTGAGTTCAATTCCCAGCAACCACATGGTGGCTCACAACCATCTGTAATGAGATCTGATGCCCTCTTCTGGCCTGCAGGCATATATGCAGACAGAATATTGTATACTTAATAAATAAATATTTAAAAAAAACAAATGTGATTTTGCAAAAATAAATAAAGGTAAAAAACAAAACAAACAAAACAAAAACAACCACCTATTGAGTTGTTTTAGGAAGCCACGAAGGTAAGGGTGCTTGCTGCCCCAGGAACCTGAGTTCTATTCTGGGATCTATACGGTAGAAGACAAGAACTGGCTTTTCCAAATCGTCCTCTGACCCCCAAGTGCACACGGTGGCATATGTGCATCCTCATACATATACATACACATACCTATGCATATACACATACATATACACATACACATGTAATTAACTTCTCTCTCTTTCTCTCTTTTTGATTTTTCTTTTTTTTGTTTGTTTGTTTTTTGTTTTTTGTTTTTTCGAGACAGGGTTTCTCTGTGGCTTTGGAGCCTGTCCTGGAACTAGCTCTCTAGACCAGGCTGGTCTCGAACTCACAGAGATCCGCCTACCTCTGCCTCCCGAGTGCTGGGATTAAAGGCGTGCGCCACCATCGCCCGGCTTCTTTTTGATTTTTCAAGACAGGGTTTTTCTACGTAGTCCTGGCTGTCCTAGAATTCACTCTGTAGATGAGGCTGGTCTCGAACTCAGAGATCTGGTTGCCTGTGCTTCCTGAGTGCTGGGATTAAAGGTGTGCCACCTCTGCCTGACTTAATAAATAAATTTTTAATGTAGTAAAAATTAAAAGAGTTGATAACAGGGCAGTAGGTGTAGTGACATAACCCTGTAAGCCGAACCACAGGGAGGCAGCTGAAGACTGTCACCATTTTGAGGCCAGCATAGTCTCCACAGAGCATGTCAAGCTGGAAATAATACATAGGGAGACCTTGTCTCAAAACCAATGAAAGAGACTGACTTTGAAATACTGTAGAGCTGCGGTGACTGGCTTGTCTAGCCTGAGCACTGTCCATAAACAAACAAACACCCTCCTCCCCTGCAGAAAAGAGGGGAAAAGCGTGGGAGACGGGGAAAAGCGTGGGAGACGGCTCAGTCGAAAAGTGTGCTTGGCACACAGGAAGACCTGAGTTCAAATGACTGGGCACAGAAGCGTGTTCCTGTAACCTCAGGTTGGAGAAGCAGAGAGGATCTTTTGTGCTCACTGGAAAACTCAGGTGGCTCAGGACTGAAATCCCAGCACTCAGAAGGCTAAAGCAGGAGGATTCAAGGCCAACCTGGGCTACCTCTTGAGTCCCTGTCTCAAAACAAAACAAGAAGTGTGGAGGCAGCTGGATGAAGCGAGAGCGGTGCAGGGACTCCAAGGCAGGACAGGCTTGCAGAAGGCCCTGCTGGGGACAGGGACTGTGCACCCTCCAAGGAGCAGGCAGGAGGCTGCACCGCAGTGCTCTGGGGGCAGCCGAGCCAGTGTCGAGTCTTCCCCACCTCTGGGAGACTGTGCTGGGTGGGGTCTGAGCTCTGCTCTAGGGTGGGACTGACTTCAGCAGAGCCGCTTCTCATTTTGACCCCACCTAACACAGGAAGTGCTTCTTCACCACGCTGACCACATCCCCAGGTTGCCTTGGAAACACTCTTTGGGGGCAGGAAGAGTTGGGGCACAGTCACCCAGCAACAGGTGGTAGCCTCCCTTCCGCCTCCAGGGCCTTTCAGATAGTCACACACACCCTCCCGGCATGCACTGGGACAAACAGCTCTGAAGACAGAGAAATTCGAGATTGACTCAAGGTGAAAGGTGAGGTGAGGGGTTCAGAAGAAAGTGCCAATGGGGGGCTTATGGCAGAGACGTGGGCGACCACCAACGAGGGAGGCAGACAGGCCAGTGACTGGGCAGAGCTGGACAAGTTGGTTAGGTGCTCAGCCCACGGACCTGGTACAGCCGAAAGCACCGCAGGTCCAACAGCTGGGTCAGCTCCGAGGAAAGTGGGAAAGCGGCTGGAAGAGAGGGTACGCATAGGCGGGAGCAGGCCAGTGAGGGGGTTTCTCTCATTTCTGTCTCCCCACTTCTCGAGGCTAAAGCAAGACCTCCGAGCCTAGACCTTGATCTGCGACCGCGGGGCCTGGGAGGGGAAGCAAGACCTGTCTGTGCAGGGGAGCCTCAGCTGGCCTGTTCTCCAGCCTCCCCTGGCTCCTTCCTGTCCTCTCTGGGTCACCTTTGCTTCTCTCTAGCCTTGTCACCCATCCTCAATAAACCAATGAGAAGAGCCGAATTGATGGAAGCTGGAAAGGGAAATTTATTCAATGTGGCCACGCTGGGGAGATGAGCAAACAGATCCAGCGCTCTCTCCGTCTCTCTCTCTCTCTCTCTCTCTCTCTCTCTCCTCTCTCTCTCTCTCTCTCTCTCTCTGACACACACACACACACACACACACACACACACACCACGGTCAGTCTCTCCATGTATATAACGTATAGAAATGATCGAAGAGCCCCGAGCTCAGCTAGAGTTGAATTTTTATAGCAGCAAAGGTGTGGGTGAGGGGTTTCTAAGGTTCAAGACCCCTGATTGGCTGACATTTGGCTAGAGGTGTCCTTGTGAGTGTGTGCTGGCAGGTGATCCTATCTACAACGGTTGGATGTTAGGCGTTTCCTTTGGATGGTCTGTTCCTGGGTGGTGCCTGGGTAGTCTCAGTTTGTGGTCTTTATTGGAATCAGGTATTGCCTCAGCGTAAACTACTGAGACTCAGGTCCCTATGAAGCTTATCATGACTGGGCCCTACATCTCTCTCTCTCTCTCTCTCTCTCTCTCTCTCTCTCTCTCTCTCTCACACACACACACACACACACACACACACGAGTCTGTCCCTGACGTTCTGAAGGCCAATGATTTGCAGTCCCAGTCAAGATGTGGTCCACCCACTGCCTTGCTGTGAGGTAGTCAGGTTGTTAGAACTGTGTTGAAATCCAGGACCCCAACTCTCACTGATTCCTGTTCCTTCTCTTAGCAGAGACATTCCCTGCTTCACCCGTTGTCCCTCTGCACCACCGAGTCTCCCAGATGCCTACAACTCCTGGGCAGCCCTCAGGGCACCCGGAGGGGCTCCCAGAGCCTACAGAGGAGGTGGCCATGTGGGCAGTACTGCCCTGTGGTCCTTGTGTTCCCATCATGCTGGGCCTGGCCTCTCTTGTAGCCTTCTTCATCATAACCACGGCAGTACTGGCCGAACGCCTGTTCCGTCGCCCGCACCCAGACCCCAGTCGGCGTGCACCCATCCTTGTATGGCGCCCTGGAGGAGAGCTGTGGATTGAGCCCACAAGCAGCGCCCGGGAGCGCTCTGAAGACTGGTATGGCTCCTCCATTCCCCTGCTGATGGACAGGGCTCCAGATCCCCTGACTCCTGGGGGAACCTTGGAGGGCAGAGCAACTGCCCCACCAGCCCCTTCAATCCCACAGTCTGCTCCCAGCTCCTTAGCTCCCCAGACCCCACCGGAAGTCCCAGCCCAAAGCACCTTCTGGAGGCCTCAGACCCAAGCTGAGAGGCTCCATGCCGCAGGCCTAGTGAGTTGGGTTGAGCCTGAGACAAGGCTAGAGGCTGGGATGCAGATTGGGAGCCCTAAGGCCTGGAGGACAAGGCAAGGGAGCCTGGAACCTGACTGGGGTCTCCAGCCTCGGGTCACCCTGGAAGAGATCTCTGCATTCTGGAAGCGGGAAGGCCGGACCAGTGTGGGCTTCTGAAGCCTCAGAGCCTGTAAGACTAGCCTTCCACTTCAGAGGGGCTGAAAGGGGTCAGCTCCAGACTCAGGCCTGGACCTCACTCCAGATGTTTCTCTAGGCCCTGCCTAAAGCCTAGGGCCTTTTGTGTGGAAATTTCTATCTTTGACATCTGCCTGGTGGGCAGGCTAGAGTGTAGACAGCCTGTAGATCATGGCTTGCATTAAAGTTCAGCTTTGGTTAAACTGCCCAGGTTGTGACTCTGAGAATTGTCGGCAAGGCTAGTTGACTGTGGGCCAGAAGGTTTCAAGATGGCGTGTCTGGGTACAAATTTACCTAAGACACCTTATTGGAGTGAAGAGGGCCCATATGGGACCCGGACCAACAGAGCCATGCTGGTGGTTATGTGTCTATCATGTGGGCCGGAGGTGGCAGGGATCTTGCTCTCCAGAGACACAGACTCTGAGAGTGCCCAGCCATCCTCACCGACTACTGCGAGGCCCTCCAGCAAAAAATAGAGGCCAGATCCAGAAGGAGTCTGTGACTATACAAGCCTTGGCTTTGTCCACTCAATGGCAACATGGAATTTGCTGAGCCAAGCTGAAGCGGCCATCTCTTGACTAGAGTCAGGACACAGACTCAAAAAGGATCAGCAGGTTCCTCTGTCCGTCGGCTTAGGCTGCATACATGCTAGAACACGGAGTTTTATTCTTCCCTGTTAAGGAAAGCCTGGACTGAAAAGAACTGAGTTTGTTCCAATATGGAAGTGAAGATTGTCCCAGAGAAGAGAAACTCCCCAAACACAGCCTCCGCCATCTTTCCCTCCAGCGTGCTGAAGGGATCCACAAGGCGGGCTTGCTACAAGACAGACTCAGTTATAATGGCCCATCCCACGGAAACGGAGTCCCAGTTATCTGTGGCCTCCATGGCTGACTCCCCTTTTAGGAGAGGAGACAATAGTGGGGAGAGTCGCCCGTCCTTCGAAGGCTAAGCTCCCAAACTTCAGTCGAGAATATGAAGATTTTGCTGTATCAGGTTTGCCACCTCTTGTCTTATTATTTACTTTATGCAGATTTTTAGTTAAATTGGCTCGCTATTTGCTTAATAAATTTGTTTTAAAAGGAATCTTTTTTTTTGTATGGCCTCTATTAATGGAAAATTATTATTATTCACCACAAGTAAAAGATAGTGTGAAAATAAACCGGGCATGCTAGTGCACACCTTTAATCCCATCACACAGGAAGCTGAGGCAGGGGGATGTCTATGATTTCCTGGCTAGCTAATGCTGCATTGAGACATGACTCAAACGAAACCAAGAATATGAAAATAAATACAGCGTAGACAATGAAGTCCTAAGGAAGCAGTGTTGCTTACTAGAGACATTGACCTCAGATTCTGCTCCTAGTTAAAAGAAAAGAGGTGTCACGTGCCTGAAATCCCAGCACATTGGAGGCAGAGGCTGGAGGGTCCCAAGTTCACGGCCAACCTGGGCTACTTAGTCTCAAAGGAAAGGAAGGACAAGAGAGGGTGGGGAGGACGGAAGGGAGGGGCTCTGGCTCTGACTCTGAGTCACGAGCTGGGGAACAGTTGTTTCTCATTCGCCATCAGCAAACAGGACTGAGCTTTGGGTTCTAGTATGAGGAGAGAACAGTTCACCAGGGACACGGAAGGGACAGGGTTTAGAGCCTGTCCATCTACATCGCAGGAACCCAGGAGAGGCATCATAGTGTAGAAGGCAAACCCAGGCAGGGCTCTTCTTCTTGGATCCTGACCTAACCCTGTCGGACCCTGGAACCATCCACTTGGAGACTTCAGAAAAGTGGTTTCTGTGGGGTTTTTGTTGTTGTTCTTTTGTTTTGTTTTGTTTTTTGTTTTGGTCTCATACTCTAACTGAACAATAAGGGAGTTTAGAGCTGGACAGGTGCTTTATTGGGAGTGTCTAGCTGTGAAACTGGCGGGGAAGGTTCTATAAATGAAGGATGGAAGGATGGGTGGACGGAGATATTAGTAACCTGGCCCTTTCGGTCTCTCTATTGTCTGGCTCCCACTCTGTGAGTGATTGTGCTCTGCAAGCATTTTTAGCAGGATGTGCAGCTGCTCAGATGCAGGCCTAAGGCAATAGTGTCATACAGCTCTTTCCTCTTCGTGGAGACTTTCCCTCCTGGAAGCTCAAGAACAGTAATGAGCAATGGCGAGAAGAGGGGACCCCTTCCTGGAGCTGCCAGTTCATGGTGCTGTGCTCCTGAGTTATCCCCAGGCTGAGGTAGGTCTTTCATTGACTGCAGATGTTTTTTGAGTCATTTATGCTTCAGTGAGTAACCCTAATAATCTATAGGTTCACGCTGGACTCGGATCTGGATTCTGCATACTGTCTGAGGGGAAGAGATTCTAGCCCACATCTCTGCAGGAAAAGCATCTGACAGAGGCCAGCTGATCAATGGATTAAATCCAGCAGACCTGAGACCAGGCATGCTCCAGGGTCCGCAGCTCCAGCTAGCCAGGCTAGTCGCCAGGCTCACCTGAGGGGTTAGGTCTAGTTTGAGCAGCATAATAAAATTCCTTCTCAAATGAGAAAAACAAACAAACTGAATTGAAAGAATTTCCCTTTGAAGAGGATAGAGTCGTTAGAGTTTTCTTTATCTTCATCATACTGAACGTAGATTTACTAAAAAAAAAGTGAGAAGAAACTCCCAAGAGTGGGAGAGGTTCCAAGGGAGGAATACCAGTTTGGTATTTTTTTAAATTAATTTCTTTTTTAGATTTATCTATTTTATGTTGTGTATGGGAGCTTTGCCTGTATTTATGAATTCGCACCACATGCGTGCCTACAGATGGTGTGAGCCACCGTGTGGGTACTGAGAACTAAACGTGACTTCTCTGCAAGAACAGAGAGTGCTCCTACCTGCTGGGCTATCTCTCTAGCCCTTATCTGGTTTTTAAGACAAAGTCCTACTACTTAGCTCAGGCTGGCCCTTAACTACCAATCCTCCTGCCTCACTCCCCCAAATGTTGGAGTTACAGGCACGCATGTGACTTGTGGAGGCCAGAAGTTAATGTAAACTATTTTCCTAGACTACACACACACACACACACCCCACATATGTGAAGGTCACAGTACAGCCTGCAGGAGATGGTTATCCCTTTCTACCTCATAAGTCCTTGGAATTGAACTCCAGTGTATCAGGACTGTCAGCAGGTTCCTCTAGCCACTGATCCATCTCACTGGCCCTCTCCACTTTATTTTTTTAAGTTTTATTTTATGTGTATGGGCGTTCTACCTGCATGCATGACTATGTACTACCTGTGTGCAGTGCCCAAGGAGGCCAGAAGAGGGCATCAAATCCCCTAGGACAGTGATCCACCATGTAGGTGCTGGGAATTGAACCTGGGTCCTCTGGAAGAGCGCCCAGTGCTCTTAATCTCTGAGCATCATCATCACTCTTGTCTAACCTTTGGTTCTTGGCATGTTGAGCTCACACTCTTCCTGCCATCTCACTCACTGAGCCATCTCTTCAGCCTGGCATTAGATGTGTTGATCTCAGCTGGAGACCTTCTCTTCCCTCTGGGACCCTATAGTGCATGCTCCTCCCTCTACCCCCTCTCCTGACTGCTTTCTTAGAGTTCATCTTGAGTAGCCCCTCCCTCTCTCTGCGCAGATTCCAACTTCAGCTGCCTCTTGCCTGAATGATCCCAGAGTTCATGCCTCCAGCTGCAGCAGATAGAACCCCTCTAAATCTATCCTCCCATTATTCTGCAGGAACAACAGCAGTGTTTGTAACGGGCTTCATGACCGCCCAAAAGAAAGGCTCCACTTCTGAGAATCCTTTGCAGCTAAGAACGGCTATGTAACTGTTCTAGAATCCATTGCAGCTAAGAACAGCTATGTAACTGTTCTAGAATCCATTGTAGCTAAGAACAGCTATGTAACTGTGCTAGACTCCATTGCAGCTAAGAATGACCATGTAATTGTTCTAGAATCCATTGTAGCTATGAACAGCTATGTAACTGTTCTAGAATCCATTGTAGCTAAGAACGGCCATGTAACTGTTCTAGAACCCATTGCAGCTAAGAACAGCTATGTAACTGTGCTAGAATCCAGACATGGTATGAAAGATCACAGACGAGGGCAGTATCTTAGAAACAGCTGAACTCTCAGAGGGAAAGAACTGGAGGTTCTATGGAACACGACTTAGTGCTATTGCATGTTAAAAACTAACATTTTATTTTCTATAAATCACTGCCACAGTGGGGTTTTGTAACCCGAAGTAAAATCTATGCCTTGACTAAAATGCTTCATGTTCTTGCAGCCACTTTCCCTTCCATGAGTGGCCATACCCTCAAGTCCCTCCTGAACTCAAGTGGTCTAGATACGTGTAACCTCACAGTTATCTCGGGTGTATTCCCACACACTCAGGGAAGCTTGCTTCAGGCCCCACCCCCACCATCTCAAGCCACCCATTGTCTGCCCACTTCCTTCCCTAACTACCGCCTTGTCTCCCTCCGTTTTTCACAGTGTACCTTGTGTTAGTCACTTGTCATATGGTTGTGACAAAATACCAGACAGAAACTATTTGAGGGAGGAAGGATTCATTTTGATCTCCAAGTTGGAGGCTGTGGTCCCTTCCGGGAAATGTGGTCTCAGGAACATGAAGCCGCTGCTCACATTCAACCCACATCATTGTGGTGGTTTGGATGAGACCCCCTGCCCTCCGCCATAGGCTCCTCTATTTGAATGTTTAGGTCCCAGTAGGAACTGTTTAGGAAGGATCAGGAGGTGTGACTTTGTTGGAGGAAGTGTGTCCCTGGGGCTGGCTGATAAGATTTCAAAAGCCCACGCCATTCCTGGTCTTCTCCCTCTGCCTTGGGCTCCCATGGCAAGCCTGACTGCCTGCTCTGTAGCATGAGATCCGAGGGAACACTGCCTCTGGCACTGCCTCTGGTTTGACTTCCCCAGTGCTGGCACCTGGGCTTTGAACTGCCTTTCATGATGCTACCTTTTGTTACTGTCACCTTCTGTTTGCAGTGTTTGATTCTCATCTGGGTTCTTCCTGAAGGGTTCAGAGTCTTTGCAAAACTTAGTTATGAGAGAAATTGGCAAACCAAGAAGTCTTATGACTGGAAATTGCCTGGGCAAAAATGGTTCCTTCAAACAACTCCAGATAAGAGGTTTTGGTAAGCGGAAATTGCTTGCTAAGGGTGTAAATTGTGTAACAATAATAAAAAAAAAACTTTTTGTGAAGAAAGGGGCAGTCAGTTAGCCGGAAACTGGCTCCCCTGCTGTTTTGGCTAAACCTAAAATTCATTCTGCTGGGACCTTTTTCTTTCACGGACCCTCGCAAAACAGAATACCAACAATGTTCGCCTCCTAAATCTCAATAAATACTCCTCCCCGTTTCAGTTTTTTGATGTATGTTCATGCCTGTGCGGATGTGTGTACACATGCTCTTAGATGCATGTGTATGTGTGTATCTATAAGCCACAGGTTGATATCTTTCTCAATCATTTCCCACCTTTTTATTTTTTGAGACCGAGACTCTCACGGAACCTGGAAATCTAATTTGGCCGGGCTGGCTGGCCCATGAACACCACGGATGGGCCTGTCTCCTCCACCTTCCCAGTGCTAGGATTATAGACTCATGCCTCCATACCCGGCTTTTGTGTGGATGTTAGGGATCTGAACTCAGGTCCCGTATTCGTACAGAACGTATGTTCCTGAGAATCTCCAAACCCTTCTCCTGCTTCTCACAAGGCATCCAGGCTGGTCTCAAACTCTTGACCCTGCTGTCTCCATCCCCGAGTGCTGGGATTATAGACATGCACCAGCTCATCTTTCTGAATTTTTGGTTTGTTTGTCTTCTGGGTTTTTTGTTTTTTGCTTTTGTTTATTTGTTTTTTGAGACAGGGTTTCTCTATAGTCCTGGCTGTCCTGGAACTCACTTTGTAGACCAGGCTGGTCTTGAACTCACGGAGATCCACCTGCCTCTGCCTCCCAAGTGCTGGGATTAAAGGTGTGCGCCCACCACCGCCCAGCCTGATTTTTTAGGAGAAAGACAGAAATAGATTTCTAGGTAAAATCAGATAAAACAATAATTTCTTAATGTACATAAATCTTTAC